TTTTCAAAGTTCTTCTTTCTATACTTTTCTAAAGTTGTTTTCTTTGCTCAAAACCTTTTTACAAAATCTATTTTTCCTTTTTGAAAATTTCTATACCAATTCCTTAGTCTGAGTCCAGACACACCCGAGGGTGTATCCAAATTCCTCAAACCAAGGCTCTGATACGAACTTGTAACGACCCAAAAATCCATACCAAAAATTTCATTTTTAACTTAATAAAAAAACCACAAATGTCAACCATTCATACAAAACATATTACGTCAGAGTATCATGACCAAAACATTATTTTATTTTATCAGAGTAAACATCCCCAAGCTGAATAAACAATGGTGTATGCCATGCAATCACGTCGAGCTCTTCCCTCCGCTACCGGAAGTACCTAAAACCAAAACTGAAAACCGTAAGAACAAAGTTTACTGAGTTCCCTAACCTACCACATACCATGCATAATCACATACTGCAAGTACTACGCCACGTCCGCCACTTCGGGCCTATCCCGCTACATCGGGACCCACCCGCTACATCGAGCCCTACCCGGCTTTGAGCCCCACTCGGTATACATATTTGTTTTACTTTAGGCCCCACCGGTCTCTATGCCCCGCCTGCTAATCGCATGCAAACATGTAACCATAGCACATAACACATAAGCTGAATATGCCCTGCTGCATTACTATCCTAAGGCCTCGCCTATCTTTGGCCTCGCCCCTGTCCTGCTACTAGTGAGGTATGGAACCCCGCCCACACTCTGCTAATGGTGGGGTATGGGACCTCGCCTACACCCACCTTCCTACCAGGCACATACAAGTATCACACAGACAACAAGTATAAATTATCATGCAAACATTCCTCGGGCGCCCGCCCGATAGCCCGATAATGAACCTTAATTCGGAATCACATACTAGCATATAGTGCCTAGGGCTAACCCTGGGTCTTCTTACTCATAAACCACATGGGTCGGCATTGTGGCCATAGAACCATTCACACAATGAGGAGACTCACCTTGCGCTGCTGAACCGTTGCGGATATCCCTCTGGCTGCTATGTGACAATTCCTGAACTGCTGCTCCTCTAGCTCCCAGAACTATCAATACCATAATAATACTGAGCCCAATACAATAATCCTTCATAGGGTAGAATGACTAGTCTACACCTCCTAGTTCAACTTCATACATATTCAAAGTTCAACACTAGGTAAGCTTACCAAGCCCACTAGTGACCCACTAATGGCACGATTTGCTACATTGGGCCTAATCCCTTAATGGGCCTTACCCTATGCCCAATACGCACAAAGCCCAACTACCAGAGTACACGGGACCTACTCCTAGGTACGCTAAGCATACTGGCTAATGGCTTGTACGCCATGCGTACCTCCTTGTTCGCCCAACGTATAGCCCTGTTAAGACACTTTACCATTAAGTGATTAATACTCCAATCTAAAGGCTACAAACTCATATCCAAGTCCCCTTCCATGTCTTAATTCATAAAGTCACTAACTTGGTGACTTGAAATCCACCAAATCAGTCCAAAATCAAAATGTGACAACATACTTTCATTCCAAGGGCTAGATCTCAAGCATGGGTACAAATAAGTCCTAAAGGTTGGAACTTTACTACTTATGGGACTCATATGAATCTATGGGAGGCAACCCTGGTCTTAGAAACATGCTTGAGTCCCAAAGATCCATTCTTAGGACCAAAAGAGTCCATAAAGTTGCACTAAAAGAGATCTAAGAGATTACTCATCAAGTTCAAAGATTTATACCTTATAAAGGTCCAAAATGAAGCAAATATCCCAGATCTATATCTCCTCCTTCAGTTCACCACATTCCTTGATCTTCACTTGTTAAGAAAATGGCTTTACAACTCTTGTATACTCTCCAAAGGCCTTTAAAGCTCCAAAAACACTCAAAGGAGGGTTAGGGTTTTGTAGCAGTTCTCTAGAGTGGAATGGAGGCTGTAACTTGAGTGTATAACATTCCTTATATAGTGGCATGGCCTAAAATTAGGGTTCCTGGAAACTGAGCGTACACTGGGCGTACATCCTGTATTCTAGGCGTATGCCAAAAAGCTCCCGTGTCCATCACCTTTCATATATTGGGCATAACCCAGCTTACGCTGGGCGTACCCACGCGCCTTCTACTTTCCATGCATGGCCCTTCTTTGCCAACTTTTCCATTGAGGGGCTATAAATGACAACAACTTCAAAATGTTACAACTCCTTCATCCTAAGTCTGTTTCCGACGAACTTTATATCCACGAAAAGGTGGCGAGAAGCCCTACGCTTCTAGCAACACACCTTGGGCTGAAATCTTCTCGACTAGAACTCAAAGCCCATAAATGACCAGAACGCCCCTAGGCTTTGCTTCTAAAACCCCTAAATGAATATTTTAGAACAGGGCGTTACACATTCTTTGAAAAGACAATTGGGAGTGTGGTGTACCAATGGAAGGATGGTCAAAAAGTTCAAAGGAGTATGTTCTTCTTGCTAGACAAACACTTATACTCAAGTGCTGCTCTGAACAACATCATGGGATTGACTGAAGCTTGTAAAGCAAACAATGTTGTTGATCAAAAATGCTTCTCAGATATGATCCAATGGTACCTAGTTGTTAGAAACAACATTTTGAATTTGATGTCGAGATTATTCAAGGTGCATAAAAGACAACAACAATAAAAGAACTCCTTCCTTATTTGACACAAAGGGGGAGATTATTGGGTTTTAAATGTATTGTGTAAAATATATGTGCTTGTATAGTCTCATTTACCAGTTTGGGCTTGTCTATTCACGATCTTGCTTTTCTAGTGTTAGACTATTTATAGTGCAAGCATGTATCAATTAGGGTTAGTTTTGGTCGCCCTACCTAGCTCTCACAGAGAAGTTCTTCTTTGAACTCTTCTATAGCTTTTATAATCAAAGCATTCCACACTATTTTTATCGTTGTTCTTGTCATTCAATTCACGCTAGTTATTATAGAATCTATCGATCTTATTTGTTATTCTACAGTACACGAGCAGGGCTCCTAACTCTAGTGCTATTGGAAGTCCTATGTAAGCAATGGTCTATACCAAACCTGATTTGGCTCATTCAGTTAGTGTGATAGCAGATTTATGGGTAATCCATGGAAGGCTCATTGGGAAGCTGTCAAGTGGATCGAGTGATACTTGAAGGGAACGACATATGTCTGCTTGGTGTATGGAGCTAATATGAAGACTAACTTGGTTAGATATATTGACTCTGATCATACACGTGATTTATTGAATTGAGGTCACAGACATGTTATATTTTTACTTTGTTCGGATGTGCCATAAGTTGGAAGTCAACGTTATGAGATATTGTTTCTTTGTCTACAACTGAATTCGAGTACATGTCTATGACAGAAGGAATAAAGAAGCAGATATGGTTACTTCGGCTTATTGAAAGTCTTCGTCTGAAGGTAGAGAATATGTTATTATGCTGTGATAGTCAGGGCATGTTAAATCTTGCAAAGAAATCCTATGTTTCATAAGAAGACAAAGCATATTGATGTCATATTGAATTTCATTCCTAACATTCTAGAAACAGACATGTTCTCAATTTTGAAGATTGATACCAAGGTGAATCCAGTAGATATGTTAACAAATTAATTGTCTAGGATTTGCTTGGACTTGGTTGATGTTCGCAAGTGGTAAGCCCTTTGGGGCTTGATAGTAGGAAGGGAAAGAAAGTTCTTTTTTGAGGTGGATTTTAGAGGATGCTCAAGTCAAGGTGGAGATTGTTAAATGTGACTTGAGCATTTGGAGCATTATCATGGGGTAATTAGGTTCAATGGAGCATTTAGAACTCAATGAAGTACTTGGGATTCATGGAGCATGTGACAAAGGAACAGATCTTCTATGAAAGGAATGGATCATCAGACAAAGGAACGGATCAAGAGAGAAAGGAACAGACCTTCCAAAAGGAGGTTTGGAGCAAGCTGGAGCAACATGGAGAAACTTGGAACAATATGGAGTAACATGGTCCGACATGTTGAGGCGAGGCGATGTTGAGCCATGAAGATGTTGAGATGTTGAGCCATCTTAATGAGATGTTGCACCATAATGGACCATCCTGCTAGACGATACAACGTCTCGATTCCTTTGATGGGCCATGTTGATCCACGTATTCTTAGAAGATGATCATGCTCATGAAATAAATCATGTTGTGTCACCATGATAGATGTTGGACCATTAGTGTTCATGATGCACCACATGTGCATCATGTTGCTCCATTATAGTCAAGGTGGTCCATCATGTGTTACTAATGGTCATGGGTTGTATGACATGGAAAATGTTCTGGAAGATGTTTCATGGCGTAATATAATTAGTCGTCACCATTCACATGTCTATGGGCTAATGGGCTTTGCCGATTAGGGGTTTAGTTATGATCCCTCAAGTATAAATAGGGATGCGTGCTAGGTCATTTGGTTTTTTGAATTATAGTGTGTTAAGCGAATCTCTCTATGAATTGTACTTGTAACCACTGTTTGAAAGCTTTAAAATAAAAATTACTCCCCTCCTACTCGTAGATGTAGGTCACAATAACTGAACCACATAAATATTGTGTTTTATATGCTTTTGGTTTTGCTAGTTATCTGATTTACTTCCTAATAAATCAAATAAATGATTTTCTCGGATTATAGTTTTAACTTTGCCTTGAAGAATAAAAAGATTTATATTATGGGGGTGTTTGGCTTAGCTTCTTAAAGTCCAAAAGTCCTTTTTGGAAAAGTTACAAAAAGTTAGGATTTCCTAACTTTTCCAAAAAGTTGATTTTCCTTATATAAAAACTCCAAAAATAATTTTTAAAACTAGTTTACCAAACATTTTTTTTTTTTTTTTTTTTTTTTTTTTTTTTTTTTTTCAAAAAAGAACTTTTAACTGTGAAAAACTAAACCAAATACCCGCTTTGTTTATGTTGGGCACGGACTCAAAATAGGATAAAATCTCTTCAATCTGCAACGCCCAATTTATGAATAAATTAGTGATGGCACCGAGAAACCGTTGTTCATCTTCACCGCCGTTTAATGAAGTCCATCCAAGGCAGGTAATTACAAAATGCTAAATAATATTTAATTTGATTATTAATCGAACAGTTAATAATATATAACGTTGTAACAGGTATAGTAGACGGTGGCTTGGTTATAATTTACAATAGTATTGTAAGTACCGCGTGGCATTAAAATATATTATGTCGACCGACCGATTCTCGAATGAAGTGTGTCCTATATATAGACGCAACCTATCATCAAGAAATAAATACGTTCAACTCAATTATGTTTCAATTGTCTTCACTCCTTCCTCTCTCCTTGTTCTTTATCTTCTTCATCGTCAAAAAATGTTACCAGAAAAGGATCCTACTCCCTCCGGGTCCTCCAAAGCTTCCATTCATCGGTAATATGCACCAACTTCTCGATCCTGCACCACACCGAGTCCTCCATCAATTGGCCACCAAATATGGTCCAATCATGCACATGAAGCTAGGCTTCGTATCCACCATTGTTGTGTCCTCAGCTGATGCTGCTAGACAGATCATGAAGACTCATGACAACATCTTTTCTAACAGGCCTAAGCTCGTGGCTCCAAAAATCTTAGGGTACAACTATACCGACATCGCGTTTGCCCAATATGGGTCTTACTGGAGACAGCTTAAGAAGATATGCCTCATCGAACTCTCAACAGCAAAGAGCATGGATTCGTCAAGGTTTATACGTGAAGAAGAAGTGAAATCTCTTGCTCTCTCGATTAGTAGAACCTCCGAAGAACCAATAAACTTGTCGGAAAATCTTTTTGCCTTGAATCATAACATCATCACTCGGACTACGTTTGGTGATAAGTTTGATGATGAATTGAGGTTCCGGTTAGCAATTAGGGAAGGGACGACTTTGGCTGCTGGATTTCAGATCGGGGATTTCTTCCCTTCGCTTGGTTTCGTTGCTAAATTCACCAGAATGAACGAAAGGATGGAAAAGTGTCATGCGGAGCTTAGTAGCATCATGGACGAAAAAATACAACACCATATTGAACAACGTAAAATCGACAAACCAGAACATGAGCAGCTTGTAGATGTTCTTCTCCGGCTTAAGGAAGAAGGAGGCCTTGATGAACCATTGACAACCGATAACATAAAATCTGTCCTTTTGGTAAGTCTTTGATTTATTTATCAAGTCCTTATTTCTATAAAATCTTTGTACCCACATGGATATTACATACCTATGAGTTATTTTAAGGCGCCATGATAGGATAAAACAGGATAGACTTAGTATTATGTTTCAGCCGTTCGTTGAATATAGACAAAAGGGATGTCGATGACACTAAAATTGCATCTGTTTTCCAACCCAAATTATGTGGGTGAGGGGATCTCTTGTCTATTCAAAAGATATGAAAAACATCTCCATAATTTCAACTGACAAGGGAGTAACATCCAATACCATCACCTCCTTTACCCTTATTTATACTAAAATTAACAGATAGTATCCTAAACTAACACAAATAAGGCTTAAAAAGAAAGTTTCAAAAATTGCCCCTGGGACTAAAACTATCCCAAGTTTCTGAATTATCCCTAACAGCCGCTAAATAATGCTAGTGGCTTTGTGAGACGAATATCATTGCTAATGGCTTCGTACGTTAACACAGTTGATGCATGTTAAAGGATCTCTGACACGTAAGTGTGTGGCTCAGTATTTTTAGACAATAGAGGTGTGATGCACATGCATGTCGCTAAATTCTTTACATGTCGGTTTTCATTAAGCATTGTATATTATATATAGGACGTGTTCACGGGAGCCAGCGAAAACTCATCAAACATAGTGGAATGGGCGATGACAGAGATGATACGAAACCCTAACGTGATGAAGAAAGCACAAGCAGAGGTGAGGCAGGTTATTAGTGAGAAAGTGAAACCAACTATAGAAGAAAATGATCTTCCGAAACTAAGTTACATGAAAATGGTGGTTAAGGAGACTCTAAGGTTTCACACGCCGGTTCCTCTGTTGCTCCCGCGGGAGTCCATGGAAAGCTGCACAATCGACGGCTACGAAATCCCTTCAAAAACCAGAGTTCTTATCAACTACTGGGCCATTGCACGTGATCCAATCAGCTGGAAAGATCCGAATGTGTTTGATCCTGATAGATTTAAAGACGAAACAAAAGATTATAGAGGCCATGACTTCGAGTACATTCCTTTTGGTGCTGGTCGCAGGGTTTGTCCTGGAATATCCTTGGGAATGGCGAATACCGAGCTCTCACTAGCTTCTTTGCTTTACCATTTTGATTGGAAGCTACCTCATGGGGAGAAACCTGAAGATGTAGACATGAAAGAGACGTGTGGAATGACATTATACAAGACTTGTAGTCTACGACTAGTTCCTACTCTACGTTTTCCCGTATCAGTTTAGAGTTTTCGATACTGTTTGATTATGGCGGTCACTCTGGGATGGGTTGATCATGTATTAAAATACTAGGTTTCTTAATGTTTTAAATTCCAAACACTTCACGACATTAAGTGCTATAATTTGCGAAATGCTGTTGCTTTTTATATGGGAAAATAACTTACAAGGCCAACAAACTTAACATTTTATCTAAAAAGCTCAACTAAGTTACACTTTCCGGAAAGTCAAATAAGAGAAACAGATGACCATGGCTTATTACCGTATCGGAAAAATGATTTGTTAGACCAACAAAGTTTTCAAAACGTTTAAAAAACTCCAATCATGTTTTAACTGTTTAAAAAAACCCAACGAACTTAAACAAAACAAAATTGAGATTTTTTGAACGGTTTACAACTTTGTTGGACTTTTTAGACAAAATGTTAAGTTTATTGAGTTTTTTTGAACAAACAAAACATGATTGGGGTTTTTTTAATGATTTGGAAACTCCGTTGGGCTTTTAAATTATTTACCCTTTTTTATATTGTAATAATTTTATGTAGATATTGAATAATTAATCCTCCTAAAATTATAACTTAAATCTTTGCCATATATCTATTGATACGGCTATTTTGTCTCATATATGATGTATTGTTCTACCCAATGGAAATTGTGCCTCGGTAGCGTTAGACAGTCGAAATACCCTTCTTATTAGGCTAAACAGAGTGGGGGTTGCTACCCTCACTCACTAAAGTCGTTAAAAATGTAGTACACCGCCACCTAGCACTCGCTGGGGGTTGCTAGAAATTAGTCATTAAAGGCATGCCGAGATGTAAGAGAAAGCAATAAACTCTTCTAATTGGCTGAATTGAAATTTGGAGGATAGCTAGACTCTTTTTTTGAATTGATGTTGACGGCATCTCAAGAAATTATGTCATTAATATATATATATATATATATATATATATATATATATATATATATATATATATATATATATATATATATATATATATATATATATGTTTAGGTTATTTTGTTTTTACTAAGTATTCTGTGCTAGAATGCACAGATCTAGACCAATTGATGAAATTAATCAATGGATATGATTTGAGAGTATATCATATTACAATGGGGTAACATGTAGCATACAATCACACAATTTTAAGCAAAATGGTATTTTGGACAATTAACTACATTTATAAAAGGAAACTTTTGGATTTTTAGGGATAATTAAGTCTCCTAATTTAAAAAAAAATCTGAATTTTTTAATTAATTCAATTTCAGTTTTTTACCGATTTTATTCTGTCAGAATATTTTTTGTTAGAATAATGCTCTTTCAGAATTTTATTCTAATAAAATATTATTTTGTTAGAATGATACTCTTTCAGAATTTTATTCTAATAAAATATTATTGGAGAAAAACAAAATTTTTGAATCAGATAATAAAAAATAACAAACATTCTAATATATTCTTATACATCCGAACTTAAATACAAACTCATACATATTCTTACAGACTAAATCATTATAAATTTTAATATAATTATACATATTCTAAAACAATATCAACGTCTTCAATGCCTTCTTCCAGCCATTTTTATCGCAAATACAACAAAAAAAAAAATTGTTAAAAACATGTTACTTGTAATTAACTATCACTTAATATATTCTTATAATACCGTGAAATCTCAAAATAATTTTTCAATTTAAATTAATAAAAATACTCCAATTACAATTCTCAAAAACGTGCAAATCAAAATCCCCAAAATCTCAAAACATAAGTGCAAATCAAAATCCCCAAAATCTCAAAACATCTCCACCATAAGTGTGTACTGATCATGTCGGCCTTCCCGCGATCGTCACTGGTACCTGAAACACATAACACGCAAACGATAAGCAATAATGCCTAGTGAGTTTCCTAAAATACCACGTACAACACATACGCCTTTCCAGGCCATAGCTCTATGGGATCTTCCGATCCAAGTGTCTTAGGGGATTTCAATCCCATATCTCTGTTGACCTTCAGGTCCATATCATCATACTCATATCATAACATATTACATATACAACATACATCACATTTTCACATACACATAAGACCTTCCGGTCACACATAATTATCGTATCGGGTAAGGTATAGTGAGAAGACTCACCTCGAAGATGTCGGATGATCACTCACACTTAATCTTCTGACCTAGCTTCCTCCTATAGTATAAATACATCTCTAATTAATACCTACCCGACTTAGTTCAACTAATGCCCTTAAGTCAACACAAGTCAACTCTGGTCAACGCTGGTCAATGGCCACCCCTTTGGCCCAACTCAGCGAGTTCAGACGTGAACTCTAGTACCATATATCCCAATTGATTCACCGAGTCTTTCCCCCAACTCAGCGAGTCACCAACTGTGTGAGTCACGGGACAACCCGGTCCGACTCGTTGAGTCTGCTCATGGACTCGGCGAGTTCATTCCATGCTCGAACTCAAATGGCCTTCCGAGGTCAGATCTGCTTCTCTAATCTAAAGATCTGACCTTCCCAAACATGATAATCACGTAAAGGTCACATCTTGGCACTCATGCAATGCCTACAAGGCTTCTTTTGGTGAAATGGCCTCTAAAATGGTAACCTAAGTCCACAACCCAAAAGGAAAGGCAGAAAGCAGAGCATTTGGGACTCTTTGGACGTTCTAAGGTCCAGATCTAGGTACCAATTCCCCATGGGACCTCTCACACTCCAAATACAAGCTAATCAAGGCATAAAGAAACCCTAGATTTGACTATATCAACAAAAACACGAGAATAAGATATGAATAATACCTCAAATAGCTTCCTCTGCCCAAATGAAAGTAGATCCAAGCTCTCCAACTCTCCTAGCTTGACCTTCCTCTTCCCTTCTTGCTAAAACAGACAAGAATGATGAACAATGTCCTCTTTTCTCACTTACAAGGACACTCAGATGCTCTGGTGCTCTCAAGGATGAAAGTAGCCGCAATGAAAGGTTATAAGGTCCTTTAAATAGGGCTCAGACCCGGGAAATTAGGGTTTTAGCCGCCTACACAGACTCGTCGAGTCAACTCATTAATCCATTCATCACCACGCGACCCTACTCGACGAGTCTAGGCATCAACTCATCGAGTCTCTCTCTCTCTCTTAGACACCAAAAATAAATGATAAAAAAACAATACCTGAAATCCCGGATGTTACAATTCTCCCCCACTAGAATCAAACTTTACCCTCGAAGTCTTACTCCGCAAACAACTCTGGATGCTGATCACGCATCTCCAAGTCCGGCTCCCACCACTGGACCTGCACCAGGGACACCTCCTTGTTCCTCAAAACCTTGATTCTCCTATCTCGGATCGTGATCAGCCTTTCACCATAGTTTAGGCTCACTTCCACCTGAATGTCCTCTAATGGAACCATTGCTGACTCATCGGCAATACACTCCCTCAACTAAGACACGTGGAAGGTATCATGAATCTGACTCAGCTCGGCAGGTAGCTCCCAACGATACGCTAATCTGCCCACCCTAGCTATCACCCTGAATGGACCGATATATCGCGGCCCCAACTTGCCTCTCTTTCTGAATCGAATCACACCTTTCCAAGATGATACCTTCAGGAGAAAGAAATCACCAACCTGGAACTCGAGCTCTGAGCGACGCCTATCCTCGTAGCTCTTCTGGAGACTCTGAGCCGTCAGCAACCTCTGCCTGACCTGTTGAATCTGCTCAGTCGTCTGGACTACTATCTCTGTACTACCCATCACACGTTGCCCTACCGCTCCCCAACAAATGGAAGTCCGACAACTCCTTCCATACTGTGACATCCCCAAAATCTCAGCCAGAAAAGACCGATTTCATTTATGTTTTTTAAAATAATTTTAGAGTAAATCTTTTTGATTTAAAAGAGTTGCGGAATTTGATCCCAAAAACAAAATATGATAAAACAATATTTATCAAAGCATTTCATCAAGAGATGAATTTTCATTATATAATAAAAAATCAGGATGTCATGTTCCGATACAGACCATAAAGCATAAACAATAACATTACAAGTCATTCAACAAATATATACATATACAGACTTGTAAACAAAACAACTTGATGATTCATCCATCTTATGCCGTCGCGCCACTACCTGTAATACGAATAAACTGAGTGGGTCAGGCTTGGGAGCCTGGTGAGCATATAGGGTTTTCAACCATAATTAATAATTATATTTATTTTCACCAACCAACAATAACCCGATTACCCATTCCCGTTATCCTCACTTTATGTCCCTAAAACAACATCTATCTCAAGGGACCTAATTTAGGATTTTCATCGGGACGGACATTACTGATAAAGGGTTTCCTCAACAATAGATATCCTAAAGGCAACCATGAGGGGGATAGAGTACACTGGTGACTAGCGTTCCACTGGACTGTCTAGAAAGAGTCTGTGGTCGTCATCAAGACTCCGCTAGATGACTAGGTCAACATCAACAACATCGAGGCCTCTCATCTGTTTATCACACATCAACTATCTACCCATATTCTACCCAACATATTAGTAGATAAAAATAGATATTTTTATACATAGTTTAAAACCAGTATAGCATGTTCAATCAATACATATTCCATATGACATATGAGGCACACACACATAACACCTAGTTCATAGAGAATAAATCAGATCTATGATATAGAAGAAAGTGAATATACATTCAAACTTATAACAACAAAATATACACATCACACGTATTTTATATAAAATACTTCATAATTATGCGTTAGAATAAGACACTCACTTGATCAGAAGATGATCGGACAGCACTACGACTTGTAGAAGTAGTATTCTTTGGTAGATCTGGAAGATCTTCACAAAAACTGGGCTTTTTGCGGGCAGAGCTTCGGCTCGGGAATTGCACTTCTAGGGATCTTCGGGGCTCGGGATTAATACCAGGGCTTCGGGATATTTCTAGCACGTAAAACGGGGTAAAAACGCAATAGAACTCGGCTGCACTCGACTTCCTTTTATAGGGTGGTGGACACCCAAATTACGTTGGGCGTAAATTAAATTACGTTGGGCGTGATGAGGATTGGGTTGCTGACTCCCCCCTTTCGATAATATCGTATATTTTAATTTAAAATAAATACCGAAATTATTAAATAAACTTCAAAAATTCATATCTTCCTCATACGAACTCCG